CCTGTCGTTAGCATCATCTATCGCTGTCACTCATTTATTGAATCTGAGAATATAAATAAATACCCCGCAGGTGCACCCTTCTTTGCGAGGTAGTGATTAAATTAACTACACACCCTGCTTAGCGCCTTCTCAATCAGACTGCTTAATGAATAGCGAAGGATACGAAACAAACGCTTAGAGAGAAAGTTGATCTCTACTAGGGCATTTGCTTGGAAAAAACAGGAAATATACTAGACGAGCCGCGAATGTTGCTTCCATTGATGTATTTACTTGGGCTACGGTGAGCCCTCGTTGACTATAGTTAATAGGGATCGCTCCGGTTCCGGATTGGTTGATGTTAAGGTCATGCTTTGAAGATCGACAATGCACAGGCTTTGCAGCAACAAAATCAAATCAAACAGATGATAATCATGACGATGCATAGACTTTGTTATCGGAAATGTAGTATTTCGTTTATAATTGCCGCCGTGCTGGGACGAGCTTCTTCTGTGCCGCTCTAGTTTTGGAGACGAGCTTCTTTATTTTGATAATCCATTAACATAGATCTCCAAGCGGATACCACAAGATGGACCAATATCATCGAAATTCAACGGTGAAAATTTTCCGTGCGAATATGACGATTTCTGGACTGCTGTTGAGGTATATCTCTGAAAAATACAGTTTAACCTTCTTGATAACTGACATAGCCACCTATGGTGAGTAATATTGTGCTAGCTAGGATCGCATAGTTGCTTTCACTATGTCGCCCTGATAATATATGAGATCGATGGGGTGGATTGTTTTTCTTTGTCATGGCTATCGAGCAGATTTTAAAGATGTCGGGGTAGATATTAGTTAGAGGTTACTTTACGAGACCAGTGTCGATGTCAATATCAAGAACCAGCCCAACATGTGAAAACTTCCCGTGAAAGAAGCTTAAGAAGGGTGATCTGTGCCTTCCCTTCGATTTTCTGTACGAAGTATATGGAACTACGACCACCGAATTGATGAGACGTACCCCCTAGGGCCCTCAAAACCACGACCAAGAGATAAATACTTGCGGAATCACTACCAGCAACCAACAACTTAGAATCGCCAACCGAACAGAGAGGGTGCTAACGCGATATATATGGTTAGCCAATCTATTATGTCAGTATTCGTGTGGCCAAGAGGCCCATCAACCTCTGTGACCCTGCTGCTATGTAGCTATGCTCTCATATATGAATATTACACCACAAGTCACTAGAAGAATGACTCACTATTACGTTCGCTTGGGGACTCGAGTCAGGGGACACAAACTTTGAAATCTACTATCTACAAAAATTTAAAAAGCCACTACAGTGTTGTACTCGGCCCGGAACTTATATCCGCCAGCTGCCGTGTTGGCAGGTTGAGGACGCGATGTAACATCTCCGCGGGCCCGAAGAGTCCGTGTGTCATTATCCGCGCCTACGCTTCCGAGACTGTTTTTTTAGACTGTTCAAACTGTCTGTGGCGGACTCAAAATCATGGTCAGAGTCTATAAAGGTCGAGTCATGATTGCATTTGATGATATCAATACAGTTGCATGATATGTGCAGATGGTCGAGCTCAGGACAAAACATACAGCCGGACGAAGTTTCCTCAGACCCAAAGGTTTTGTATTACGAGAAAGTGGTGTGCTATCGATATTATGATGCTATCTATTAAGCATAGACAGCAACTTACTTACTTAAGCTGTCCAGAAAGAGGGTTCGGGCTATCTCCGCGGCACGCGGAAGAACCACGTTATCATTGGTTAAAGAGAGATTTAGCATGTATACTTTTAGAATATACCATTCTAGTTTTGGAAAGCAGAAGGGCTTATCCAATATATCATATAGTAATAGTAGAGTAAGCAGTTCATTATTGAATTATTCGGGCTTAATTTATATTTGTATAGGGTATCAATTACGTAGTCTCGTGGATTGTGGCCGATACTCCGAAAGAAAGATTCAAAAATACCACACGGAGAGTTTGTTGCAGTCGGCCCTAGTCGGCGTTAAGGCGAAATGTGTTGCGCATGTGTTGCGGTAATCGCCGACCTCGGCAGCAAACAAAACGATGGACCCGTTTTCAAGGTCTGTCGAGGCCTCAGAATTTTGTTCGGCATTGACGTACCTCAAAGCAACTTTATTAAGCAGCCCCCAAATTACCCCAAATCCGAAGGCAAAAAAATATCTCTTATCGTCACCCATCAATATTAACCGGCAGATACATAATATACTCACCGCTCCTCCATCATCAAGACATCGATATACCGCATATCTGCCTTCAGTCCATATATCCACCATGCTTTCGAGAACACTCCAGACAGCCACAAGAACCCTCTCGCGAGGTGCCCTCCGACCGAACCTCATCGCTGTTGCCCCTCGCTCACACATCGCTCCTCTACCGGCAGTTACAATCGTGCCGAAGAGAGGGTATCATGAAAAAGATAGGTCTCCCGGGGGGTGCTCCGTTGATTTCGCTGGTCGGATGTTGATATCCGGGTAGTGAAAATTGTGCCGAAGTGAAAGCTAACAGCGATATCTACTGCTAGATCACTATTCCCGCCCGCGAAATGTCGGCTCAATGAACAAGGCTGACCTTGATGTCGGAACCGGTCTCGTCGGTGCTCCAGCTTGTATGTCATCGGGCGATGCTCATCGCTACCCCTCCATTGATATCTGCCGGCTAACATAACCCATCTTACTAGGCGGCGACGTCATGAAACTTCAAATCCGTGTCGATGAAGTCACCGGCAAAATCAGCGATGTCAAGTTCAAGACCTTCGGCTGCGGTTCTGCCATCGCGTCCTCCTCATATCTCACTGAGCTTGTCCGCGGCATGTCGCTCGAAGATGCCGGCAGAATCAAGAACACAGAGATCGCGAAAGAATTGTGCCTGCCGCCCGTCAAGCTGCACTGCAGCATGCTTGCTGAGGACGCCATCAAATCCGCCATTAAGGATTATAAGTCGAAACGAGTTGGGAAGCCAACATTGGGCGTGACAGCGTAAAGTGACGTAGTATCGCGATCGGCTGCAGGGAGAAAGGCAGTGTTAGGTATACAAATTGAGACGAGACACCAAGGGCACTACTGAGTAGTAGTACTCTAAAGATCAGACGGATGAAACTCGATGGGTCTGCTTAGCTCATTTTTTCCCGTTTTCTTTTCAGATTCTTATCTGATTGATTGATTGACTTTTGCCATGGCGTATTTTTTTTTTTGGCCAGGGGGTTATAAAGAAGAGAAAGGATGGATCAGGAAGTCCTTCTTTTTTTGTACATTTTTCCCGTCTATACGACTGTTATTATTCCGCTACGGTCGTTATTGGTTTTCTTTTCTTTCTTTATTCCTTTCTCTTGTAGTTAAATCCTTTAGTTAGCGTGCTTTAATGATCAGTCGCTTTCTTAATACTCTCTTCATGTGCTCACCGCATATAGACCTGATAGTGGCGTGATACTTTGTCCACACCAAATGTTGATACAAGATCCAACACCATCCTCGATTAGCGATCGAACCTTCGGGATACTTATCAACGTTATCACACAAATAGATCTCTTGGGTTCTCGATAAGATGAATCTGATAGCTGGATTTTCGGTGCATATTTCAGCAAGCATCCTGTCCGCTTACCATCATGCTGCAAAATTAACAGATGGGACGTTTCTTGCATCGCGTGGAAATATCGCCATAGAGATGATATAAAAGTTCTCAACACACCGTAAAATAGTATCCTACTCTGAACAAAATTAAAACAAGTTTGGAACTGTAAACCCTGGTGGGATTAGGCCGATGTGGGAATCTGCGGATGTGTACAAAGTTGCAATACAAAATCATCCACCCGTCCTGATAGGTTTATAATCTAGGTCAGGTGATATCGTGATATCAAATGAATCGAGTTCAGTAATGACAACTCTTGTTACGTGTATCTCACAGGTTTCTACGACTAAAACAAGTCGTTTACGAAGTTCGTATTATCAAGTCCCGATATAAATGCTAATACCCTCCGAGCTTTATTAGCTTTATACTTGGACACTACGTAATTATCCCGTTAATTAACATGTTTTGATAGAGATATTTACTCTAGAAAGAATCAGTATCATCGCTATGTGAAGCATCTATTCTCTAAGTAGCTATGGGATTTTATACTGCTGCGGATCCAGAGAGTTCATAGAACAAAGCGAGGGCATATGGACAAGGCAAGAACCAAGAAGCCTTGACAATAACCTTTAGCTGAAACTTGATCTAACCCTATCTACGATATTGATATGTCTATACATAAGCATCTAAGAAAAACCTAACTATTTGCAAAACCATAAATCGTACAGACACGTGTAAGTATACATGTGGTATCCGTTGTACTTCGTACTTCTGCTACCCTAACTCTATGAGTTCGCAATTTTAAAAGCAGTACCGTCGGTCGTTCAAAACATTATAACATATATATCTCTGCAAGCTTGGTTCAGTTCAGACATTCAACTATGGAACCATGACCACTCATGATAAGAATATAATAACCTACTCTATATTTACCGCAGTTATGTTAGAATATTTGGTTTAAAGGCATATAAACACACGTCAGAACCTGTTCACGGTTTCCAGGCTGGTGCGTATTTTAGCTGTAATTCTATTCTTGTGCAAGCGGGGTAGTTTAAACCACCTCTGGAGATATTCAAGAATATCAAAGGCCTTGTAGCTTAAGTGGTAAAGCACAACCCACTCTTTGAGTTTGTCACACCCGCCTAGACTAGGCCTGTGTGCCTTGACTCCTGGAGACTTGGTACTAGGGAAGTCTGTTCGAGCCAGACCTTGGCCGGCTCTTTTTATTTTGAACTTTTTGAGAATATATGTATTCTTTTTTGCTCTGGATATACAAGAATGCCATCTATATGCGTTTGTCAGCGCTGAGGTAGCCTTAAATATAGCTATATAGGCGCTCTGGAAGCGGACAGATAAATATCCACGTGACATCTTGATATATAGTATGCATCTAAGGCTGAAGAAAATTGTATTTTAAAGACCTTGTAGCTTAAGTGGTAAAGCATGGGTACTCTTGGGGGGCTCTAAACCTATTAACCATCAAAAAAATCAATCCTCCAAGAGTTCTCAAAGATGTCTGTTCGAGTCAGACCTTGGTCAAATTTTCTTGTTTCTTTTAGGGACCCTTTCTCCTATACGCATTTATCTCTTGTCCTGTTCTCAAACATCATTTATATATAATTATTGGAGTCGCGGCTCCTCAAATCTGGGCTCTGAAGGCAGAGGTGAAGCCCATATTGCACCTCTATTATATTTATATAAGCCTGGGAGATGCTGGCTATTGAAGGCCTTGTAGTTTAATAGTAAAGCTGCTGGAGGTTCTACTAAGAGGCCCCCAAGCGTGAAGATGCCTGTTCAAATTAGATCTTGGCTACTTGGTATATTTTGCTTCCTTCAGGCTCCCTTGGTTTCCAGAATATGTATTTTTATTTTTATTTTTATTTCTACCTCGTTGGGCGGGTTTATAGCCTGTGTATTTATGAAAATCAAATCCCGACAGTTACCTTTATAATTTCAACAATACTAATGATGATTATATCTAGAAGGCCTGTTAGCTTAATCGGTAAAGCGTTGGGGGCTCGGAGTTGAGTTATCCCTAAGGCAGCGTACCTTAGGCCCTCTTCTCCAATGAGACACCAGAGATGTCCGTTCGAACCGGAGACTGGCCATGCTTCCTTTTTCTTCTTCTTCTTCTTCTTCTTTTTTTTCCATTTATTAATCTAATGCCCATAGAATTTTCGAATTGTTTGCCGAGCTGCAGGTACCCTTAGTCGTTCTCTATCCAACTCCATGACGAAATTACACCTAAATCGCTAGATTATGTAGAATTATAAAGTATAATATTGTTTGTCGTGTTTGAACTATTACAGTAGAACATAACTTTCCGTAAACTAACTTCTAACCTCGTCCAGCCTCGTAATAAGACTTAACTTCGCCCATATAAATGTTCTGCGGTGGAGGAGAACATACCCTATCTTGAGAGTCCCAAATTGATTAGCCTGGTCTCGTGAATTAACTCAAGCATCCAGTTTTCACTGCCAGGGGATTCCAGTCTTATACTAAGTATGAGAAGGGCAACCACGTGTTGATGCTGCTACTCCCGGATGGAGTCCTTCCGTCGGAAGATAAAATCTCCTAATTCGAGAGTATGGTTGCATATAATACTCTACCAACTGCTGGTCTAGGTTATATATATATATGAGCACGGGAAAGGGGCGTATTTCGGAGAATGCCTGTTCTGTCGATGTAACTACGGCTCAAAAACTTAAAAAGGTACCCGACAGAATTACGCCGATGGAGGTACTTGGATGTTAAACTTAGATACCGTACGTTATAAAACGCAGCCTAGTATCATGCACATATGCACATCATACGATGATAAAACAGGGTAATGCATTCATGACATCAATTGGTTTAGCAAATGCGCCGGCGTGGGGATCGAGGTTAGCTACATGCATGCATAATTATTCTTTCTCGATTTTATGTCCTTCTAGAAGGCAGTGTGGAACAACTAAAGGATGGCGGAGTAGACCGATGAAAACCATATCCTGGGTACTGACTAAGTACTTACTTAATCACTTATGCATAACCCATACCTAAAAACCATATAGGAGCCTAGCACGGGGTGGTATTCGGCGGGCAAATCAGCATCCGCCCCTCGCAATCGTGTTGTTGTGTCATTTTGGTTTTGGGAAAATGAAAACGGGAGATGCCGACGGAGTTGAAGCACAATTGTACTAAAAAAACCAGGGGAAAGGTTACATACAATATCGGAGACCAACTGGATCTACTCCTAGTAAACAGATCCCTTCCGGAATTCAATTTACGTCCGGCAAAAATGGCCTTGGATATTTCAAGGACCAGGTGACGATATTCAAGAATAAAGTTCTATAAAACGGATATACATAGAGGTTGGCGTTACATCCGCGCCTGATGGGGAAAATTTAAGAGTTCCCTGCACCCGACACTTTGAAGTAAGTTTTTTTTTTGTGCTGTCAGAGTTCCTCGTCCAAGTGGCAGGAGATCTTGGGCCCTTAATGCGCATGAAAAAAAGGTCTGCGCGACGTCAACGAAAAGCCAGGTCGAAAAGTTCCATACCAATGGATACTCGATTTCCATAGACCTTCTGCGCTCCTTGCTTTGTTCGGCCTCGAAGGGGCTGAGTCGCACTCGCTGGCTGTGGAAGCTATTGTTAACAACCCCCGTCCCGGTAGGGCTAGACCTGCGTTAAGCTTTTCTGTGAGTGCATATGCGGGGCCGCCTTATGCTTGAATTCTGGAGGCCTTTGGTCGCTTCTCCCATTAATCGATCGCCTATAACTATGCTTGCTGCAGGTATTCTGGTCGGATCAGTCTTACTGCAGACATGCTATAACCATACACAGTATGGTTAGTAAGGTTGATTGTAACATGACGGTGACGGGCTGAAAAGCCATTTAATTTTATATGCAGTCTATCTGTGGCTTCAAGACAAAGAAGTCACGCTAGCGGAGTCTAGTCTGCTGAGGGGAGTTCTCTGGGTTTGCCCGTCCACCATTTGTCAGACCTGTTTTCGAAAAGGGATTTGCAAATTTTCATCTGGCATGATACCCAAATGTATCTTTGGACTTCTGACCTTGCTTCACGTTATTTTTCTCGGCCCGACGATACTCGGTGTTCTAACTAAAGGTACATGAAGGTCATATGTCATGACATAGACATGTATATCCATAATTACGTAACATACGTAACTACCCAAGATATTCTCAAGAAGCCCAAGAAACTATGATGCATAATGGGTTCGAAGATCCCCGGGATCCCTAAGAAAAATGGCACAGTGTGATCTCCTTCTGGCCAGATGCCCAATCAATAGTTGGAATGAATGAAGGTCCGTTTCCGCCCAGATGTTGCATTCAGCCGCTCTTGACGCTAGAACAGCTGGCAACAAAACAAGAGCTGAGCCCTTTTTTTGTTCCTTTTGGGTCCCTTTACGGAAGTTCCGTGTTTTTTCACCAAATTCGTTAGTGTCGCCGGGCTAGGCTTGGGCCAGTGGTCACCCGAATCTTAACGTTGGCCATGGGTGCAGGGGAGCGTCTATTATTAGCGGACGACGTGAAGAATCCGTCCATTCCCAACCAGCAAAGCGTAAACATCCCCGATCGTCAAGGCACGGCGTCCAAGGCTTTTCTTTTTTGCCGTTGTAACGTTGAGGGGAACGATTTGGTATAAGTTGAAGTCATATCCCCATCCCAAGGTAAATTCTACTCTCATTCTCACTATCAACAATCGTTATAGCTATCGATATCCGAACTTGAAATTTAAAAGCATTCGTTAATTCCAACTGCTTTCCGTCGTTCTCGATTCTTTTCTTTCGATTCCAATACAAAGTCTCTTTTTTATTTTAAATAATTACTAGAATTTTTTAATATCAATATGCGTTCCTCAATCTTCCTCCTTGCGACTGCCCTCGCCTACGTCTCTGCTCAAGGTGCAAGTGGCGCTCCTGAGCCAACTGTTACTGCTGCACCAGGGACCCTCGAACTCGGTGCAGAGTGCGCTACGACAGAACAATGTGCTGGTGGAGCTGAATGTTGGGCCAGCAATGCCATGCTTATTCGACGATGCGGTAACTTCAACGCCTCGTGCAAGTCCGATGCACACTGTGCATTCAACTCTTGCAATAACGGCCTTTGCAATGGATTCGTATCTACTACTACCACTGCTGCCCCAACCGACGCCCCCGGCCCAAGCGGTGCTCCCGAGCCAACTGTCACTGCTGCACCAGGGACTCTTGCACTCGGTGCTGAGTGCGCAACTACCGAACAGTGCGCTGGAGGTGCTCAATGCTGGGCCAGCAATGCTATGTTGATCCGACGATGCGGTAACTTCAATGCTGAATGCAAATCTGACGCCCACTGTGCATTCAACTCTTGCAATAATGGCCTTTGCAATGGGTTCCTTACTACCACCACCGCCGCTCCAACTGACGCTCCCGGCCCAAGCGGCGCCCCAGAGCCAACTGTCACTGCCGCTCCTGGAACCCTCGAGCTCGGTGCCGAGTGTGCAACTACCGAACAGTGCGCTGGAGGTGCTCAATGCTGGGCTAGCAATGCTATGTTGATCCGACGATGCGGTAACTTCAATGCTGAATGCAAATCTGACGCCCAATGTGCTTTCAATATTTGCAACAACGGTCTCTGCAATGGCCTGAAGCCTTCCGGATCTGAGACTGCTGCCCCAACCACTACTGGCGGTAACACCCCACCAATCCCAACCGTCACTGCCCCAGCTGGATCTCTTCCTCTCGGTGCCACTTGCTCTTCCAGCGAACAGTGTGCCAACGGTGCTCAGTGCTATGCTACCAACTCCATGCTCATCCCAGCCTGCGGTAACTTCCAGGCCTCTTGCACTTCCGATGCTCAGTGTGCCTTCAACACCTGCAACCAGGGTTTCTGCAACGGTCTTAAGCCATCTACTTCCTTGACCACTGCTGCTCCAACCTATGGTGGAAACGGCACCGCCACCGTCCCACCTACCCTTGTCCCAACTTACACCGGTGCTGCCAACAAGAAGAACGTTGGTGTTGTTGGATTGGTCGGTGCTGTTGTTGCTGCTTTCGTCTTGTAAAGAGATGGTGGATGCAAAAGTATTTTTGGTGTGATGAGTTGGATAATGTAATAATAATGAATTTCCTTTTTAACGTCCTTTTACCTATTTTTTCGGCATTTTCTGGGTGGCACACGCACATACGTACATATACATAGCGCTGGCGGATATTCTTTCGGGATTTAATACTTAAGTCTAAAAATTAATGAAACTGGGTGTTTGATGGTTATCTATATCTCATTGTAGTCAGTAAACGTATTAACCTTGGGAACGTTCGAAGCTTGAACTAAGTATTGCTAAGATTAGGCTTGCAACATAATCTATTGCCAGAGAGACCCGATGACGCCGTGCTATGAACATTGCATAAAGATATCGTAACTAGAATAGCATATGCCCGCCCTTATGAAGCATCTGTGAATAAACTGTTACCGACCGACGAAGGCTGCCCTTCGTACACCTTTCTGGCCTCTTCGATGGCCAGGGTAGCGGCCTTCTTCTCGTCCGTGTCTTCCTCGACCACCTCCTATCGATAGGAATTAGCATCGTTTTCAAGAGACCTATTACCTAGCATGGAGGAACCTAGGAGATAAATCCTACCAACTGCAGCTCCAACGCTTCAACGGCCTGTTCCAACTTCGCTTGTACCGTGGGAATCATCTGCTCTGTCTCTACGACAACTTTTTTCTGTAGGACGTGAAAAGAGAATTAGATCCATTTAGTCTCTCCTACGATATCTCCAAAACAAGGGTCGCATTATGCCATACTTGTTGTTTTATTTCGTATTCATCCTCATTGTTGTCTTCCATCCTCTGTAGTCTGGCTTTCTGGGACACGAGTTCCTTGTGATAACTCTGCTCCTCCTTTATTAAGCGTGTAACGCTTGAGGTCTTGATCTTGAGCGCAGATGGCGGCGGCATTTTGACTGTTTCTTTGGTGAATGGTATTCTGGAGTATTGGTTTAACACTAATGACCTGGTGGAGTTGTTTCTCGTGTCTGCCGTTTAACAGAGGGGGGGGGGGTTTATCGCGAAGTGGGGTGGTATGGTGTTTCTCAGTTGAGGTTTTGCATGTTTGGCTCGCTTCGA